TGGACAAAGAGGCTAGGGATCTTCCTCCAGTGTCTTTTATAAAGGCAGGAATGCCGTCATTCATGAGTGTTTTGCTCTCTTGATCTAAATCGTTTCCCAAAGGCCCTACCATCTAATTTGGGTCATTAACTTTTTAACATACGGATTTGGGAGGAGCAAATACATTCTGCCTATAGCAGCTCTGGCCCATTATTTAGAAGACTGAAAAACACCTTGATAGTCAGATCTCACCAGGTACTTGATTTCATCTATCCCTTATATATTACTAGGTTAACCTCTATAGCTTGCTTCCCAAGGAGGTAAGATAATGCCATATATTTCAACAAAGAACTTTAAAATCAATATGGTACAATAAACTTCTTTTAGGGATTTCATAAAAAGGGGTTAAAAGGAGACATGTATTCTGTATGTGATAACAGAATTTAAAAGATTAATGACTTAGTAGCTTTTTAGTGAATGTATATTATATAGGCCAGACTCTTAACTGGATATAAGGATACAGTGCTGAGCAAAAAAAAAAAAGAAAAAGAAAAGAAAAGAAAATCACATCTCTGCATTTCCTAGTGTTTGCTTTCTATCCCGGACAGGGGTGGGGTAGGTATGGGCACAGATGTAAATGAAGGGATACCATGGAAAACTGCAAAGGGAATATTATCATAGAGAGATGGGACAACAGAACATGGTGGGAGATGGTTCTGTCAAGGGACCAGAGGAAATTCACAAAGTGAATGGGTAATGAGGATGTTTGAATGGGTAGCAGGAGAATCTTCATTTGTTTAGCAGATGTATACTGAACACCAGTAATGGGGTAGGTACAGTTGTAGGTTTCGGGAATTCAGTAATGAATTACCCAGGCAAGAATTCCTGCCTCATGAGAGTTGTAGATATTTGTACCAGGGTGATGGCAGAGGGATTGGAGGGGAGTGACTTGATAACTATTTAGGAGTTAAAATGGATAGTTCTTGGGGGTGAAATGAATTACAGCTAAGGAGGATAATATCAAAATGACTTACATTTCTGACTTGTATAACCAGATGGGTCACAATCTAGTCACTGAGCATGGAAACTCTGGTGGCAGTGTGTGTAGCTTAGAAAGGCAGGCACCATCCCTTTACATTTAATTCATATATGCAGGGTTTGTGGTGCTTTTGAGATATTCAGGTGGAGATGTGGGGTACTTGAGACTGCAACTCAGAAGTAAAGTTTAGGCCATTGAGTGGGTTTGTCAAGTATCTGCATATAGATGATAATTGAAGGAACTAGCAAGGCATGTGAAGAAAAGAATCAAGCTTTTAAACCCCTTTTTTGTGTTTTTATGTTTCTCAAAGTCAGAGTAAATTACATTGCTTTTAATTAGCAATGTGAATGTCTGTATACTCCCTTAGGTGTAAAAAACAAAACAAAACTTGTTTTCACTCTTGCTCTGTGAAAATAGTTTATAGGTGATGAAGAGAGAGAGAATCAAGTTTTAACAGATCACTTATAGATCTAGGCAAGCTTTTGAATTGTTTTAAGATTCCAGGTTCATTATCTAAGAGGACTTAGATAATGTCGAATTTATAGTCAGACACTATTGTGAGAAACACCAGTGACAGGTAAGTAATGTATCTGTGAACTATTCAAAAAGACTGATGAACTTAAATTCGCCTGCATGAAACTGATAATAGTTTCAAGGCAGGTAAAGATTCTCAGCAGAACAAAGACCTAATGAATGTGAACCAAAGAATAAGAAATAGAAGTAGGAGACAAAAGAAATATGAACAAAACCTGTCACCCATGAGGCTCATCTTTTTTTTTTTTTCCTTTTGTATTTCTAGAAAGATTCCAGAAGTTTAATCCTCTATTAGCAAATAAAAAAAAAACTTTTTCCTAGTTTTTAATTATAATTAATTACTTATATATTAAATGCTGACCTATCTTGCCACTTGAGTTTCAGATTTAATTGTCATCAGAAATCAGTTAAAATATTCCCTGAAACAGAGGCCTAGCTGACATTTAGTTTAATTTCTGGTTAGTATTTGTGAGAAAATAGGCACACAGCATATCCCTCCCCCATCTTTAATGCACGTGGGCTTTAAGTATACCATGAAAATAAGTGAAATTTTGGTGCATTCATGAATTTCTATTTACAATAACTACTTTGTTTTTTTTTAATTTTTTTTTAAAGATTAATTTATTTATTTATAGAAGCACTGGGTACAGTCAGAAGCGCGGGAGGGTAAGAGAATTCACCAGAGCCAGAGCGGGGAACAGAATAGGCAAAAGGACCGAAGACCGAAGTACACTGCTGAGGGGAGCAGCGGGCCACAGGAGAGGTCTGTGCGCCATGTGGGACCCTCGCCCAGTGGCTGGGGATCGAACTGGCGCTGCAGAAGCTGCGGGCAGCTTCGCAGCCCAGCACTCAACCCCTGTGCCACCAGGGGAGGCCCTACAATAATAACTTTGAATAAAGCCTCACCTACCCCATTTCTTTTCACTTGATGGTTGCCTTTTCTCTTTTGGTTAGTTTGTTCAAAGCTTCCTCCTACTACACCTACAAATAAACCAAAAAATAACAGCATTTAGCCTTCAAACTGTAGACGTTGCTCTAGTGATACACATTTGTTTGTGGACTATTTGTAATTGTAAACTTGGTTGCTCAGTGAAAGTGATTTTTTTTTTTTTTTATTTTTAGTGAAGTAAAGTTGAAATCTGAGTCACTTCTGAGGTGAGATGCCTGGTTATTTTTTTTTTAAGATTTATTTATGTATACAAAAGCTGGGGTACAGGCCAGAGGTGTGGGGCAGGTGGTGAGAGGATTCACCAGAGACAGAGTGGGGAACAGAACAGGCAGATTGACTGAAATACAACTGCTGAGGGGAGCAGTGGGCGAGACAGGAGAGGTCTATTTCACTGTGTGGGTCACCTCCCCGGCTGGGGATCGAACTCAGTAGCTGCGGATTGCTTCATAGTGCTGAGGCTTAACCCCTTGTGCCACGAGGGAGACCCCATCATTCCCCTTTCCTAATTAAAATCTTTGGACATGTAGTAAGGGTCTAAGGTGGGCAAAGAATATGAATTTATATGTAATATATCATCTTTTTTCCCTCTGTTTTAAGTTTTCTTTCTTTCCTGAATGAGGGAAAAGGGGTGGGATAGGGAAGTAAACCTTTGTGACCAAGTAAAATTCTTCTTGGCTATGTGTGTCACAAATGTCAGATAAGGACATGGCGTGACATCTTTCCTCTACACAGTGTCTGGCTCAGGTTGGGGGAGATGGTCAATAGATCAAGAGGAGAGCTCTCTCTTAAGCTTTCCCTTTCTTTGAGCCTTATGCTTTGTTACGACAAAAGACAGTCTCGGTAAGGCTAGTATTTTAAATTTCCATCTGGTTTTATTCTGTGGTGTCACTTATGAATTTGCTGGAATACTTGGATTTTTATATTAGTCCTCTCCTGGTCTTTACCAGCACTCAATTTTGTGCTTGCATCCCTCCTTAAGGGACAGAGAGTTGTTTCAAAGTGGTGCTGTCCTACCTTTCCCAGCAGCCTGGACCCATGGACTCAAGACTGACTTGGGGGTCTGGGGCTAGTGGGAGGTGGGAGGTCTCTGCTGAGAGTCTGAGAAGTTTGTGCCTCAGAGCCTTTGCTGGGTTCAGTTGAGAGGATTTGCAAACTAAATGGTTTGATTTTCAACATCTTTCTCTGTTGTTGATGGGATGTTATACATGGTTCTTGCATTTTCAGGATAACTATAGCACACAACTTTATGTTAAGGTTGAAAGATTATGAAAAAGATAGGCTGTGGCCTATCTCTTCAGGACTTTTATGCAAGACACAGGTGAAGAGAAGTATGACAGAATAATAAAGATCATTATTGACTTAATGTCAACAGTTTACAAACCATGAAGTGAATAAGGAAAATATGTATTTTTTGCACCCTATTATCACATCAGAGAGGAAAATTCTTTTTCTCAGTTCGGTATATATTCTTCTGTTTGTCTATATGTATATGCATATCAATATACAGGTACACAACACACACATAGACACATGTACACATATCTATATACATACACAATGGGACTATATTGTATGTCATTCTGTAGGTTGATTTTTTTCACCCAGTTTATGGTGAATATTCTTTGGTGTCACAGATTAACCTAGTGTTTTTTATAGGTGCATGGTGTTCCCTAGTATGTGTGCACTGTAATTTATTTAGACATGTTATTGATGAGCATGTAGATGGGATCTAGTTTTTCACACTTACATAAATACTCCTAGAAATAGCCTTGTCTGCATATTTCTGATGTTGTTTTTATAATACAGAATTTAAATTATTTTAACATTGAAAAATGCTGTGTGGTGACCCTACGAAAAGTTGTAGTCAGTTTATGCCCCCCCCCCAAAAAAAGAAGCTGATTGCATAAAATTATTGAATTGCCAAAGAAATGATGTGGTTTTGGAGTTAGTGCGGGGTCCTTGGGTTCACTCTGGGAAAGATTTCACCAGAGCTTCCCTTTCAGCAGCATGTGGCAAGTTTCCCAGTGAGTTTCTCCACAAGACAGAGCGGTAGTTATGTTTAAAGGGCAGGTTTATTAGGAAAAGGACAGAAAAGTACACTTGCATAGACACAAACGGGCAGGAAGAGCTGCCCCTCTGTGGGGTCAGTGTTAGGTTTTACCTTCATCTTTCGGTAGGGAGGGGCTCATCTTCGTGAGCCCTCAGTTGGTTGCTGATTTGGGATCACTATGTAGAATTTGAAAGGGACCAGAGATTCTACAATGGGCTTCATCTCCCTATCTTTACCTTTGGGTATGCCCTCTGATGCCTGTTTGGATATTATGCTTTGTAATCTAGGTGTGGGGTCTAAGGATTTTGGTTTCCATAGCTGTGTCGATGGCTATGCTAATCTTGTCTACCCCCACCTCCTTGTGTGAGCCAGGTTTCTGCTCTAGTGGTGCCTCCTTTTTCAGTTTTTTCTATTCCTGCCCTCCATCTGAAACATAATGGTTGTTGTATTTTTGTTATAGGACAGAGAGAGGGGCAGCCCAAACCCCGCAAACCTGCCTATTCTAAATGGGTTCTGCCATCTGCCGCATCAATATAAAACACATGAGACTTTAATGGGAAGGATCTTTAATAAAACTAGGAAACAATACAGGTAAGGCAAAGAGTCTAGTTTCTAAATGAAGCACCCAAAGTTACCCATCCCCTCGTGGGTAAAACTCCATCCAAATGGGATTGGCCCAGAGCAAGGCCCCAAAGCCTGCCATGAGTCTAAAGCACCTTCCAGTGGGGACCCACAGCAAAGGGTCAGAAACAATCAGACAAGCCCAGAAGGAAAAGAGCAAAATCAACATCAAGATAAAAGCTGCCATTGTCACCTCCCCACGGGTCTCACCCACATCTGTGTCACCCCGTCCACGACCAAAAGACAAGCACAGCTTCTTCACATGTCTCTAGGCTCCATGCGCCTCCTCCAGGTCTCCTGGCTCCATCCTGCTTCTTTCCTCAGTCTCTTCTGCAGCTTCTCCTTTTCCTTCTCAGCTCCACCCTCCCTTGGGTGGGGCAGGGAACCTGGAACTTCCCCCTTTCCTGGGGACCACCCTGTTACATTTTGATGATACTTTATATTTTTTAATCCACTTCCAGCTATCGTATTTAATTCTCACAATCATCACTAAGGTGTGGCATTTTAGTAGGGATTTTATTGAATTTGTAGATAACTTTGATTAGTATGGACACTTAATAATTTAGTTCAGAACATTGTAACTTGCCATTTATTTGTGTCTTCTTCACACTGTTTTTTGTATGTTGGTTTTATATCCTGCAGCTTTACTGAATTTATTTATTCTCACAGTTTTTTTTTTTTTTTTTTTTTTTTGGTGGAGAGTTTAGAATTTTCTGTATTATCTCATTGGCAAATGCAGACAACTTTATTTCTATTTCAATTTGGTGTTTTCCCCCTTCCCTCTCCCCGCTCCCCTCCCTACTCTTCCCTTCCCCTATTTTAGTGGCCTAATTGCTGTGCCTAGAATTGTTAGTAATATTAAACAGAAGTGATGAGAATGGGTTGTCCTTCTCTTGTTCCTGATATTATAGACTTAGAGGAAAGACTTAACTTTTCACCTTTGCATATGATATTAGTTCCAGCCTTGCCACATGTGGTTTTGTTGTAGTTTAAACATATTCCTTTTATATCAAATTTGTTAAGTCTTTTATCTGAAGGGATATTGAGCTTTTTTAAAATGCTTTTTCTGTATCAAAAAAGCCATATGATTTTTTTCCTTTGTTCTGTTAACATGTTTATTGATTTGTATGTGCTGAATTCTTCTCATATCCCAGAGATAAATCACACTTGATCATGGTGTATAATGTTTTTAATGTGTTTTTTAATTTCACTTGGTAGTAGTTTGGTAAGGATTTTTGCCTCTATGGTCATCAGGGATATTGACCTATAACTTTATTGTAGTGTGCTTGTAGTGTGCTGGCCTTGTAAAATGAGTTTGGAAGTGCCTTTCCTTTTCAACTTTTGGGAAGAGTTTGAGAAGTATTAGTATTCTTTAAATTTTTTTGCATACAAGAACTGGGGTACAGACCAGAGGTGCCGGGGATGAGAGGATTCACCAGAGACAGAATGGGGAACAGAACAGGCAGATCTACTGAAATACTCTGCGAAGGGAAGCAGCGGGCAAGACAGGAGAGGTCTGCTGCGCCATGTGGGCAGCAACCTGGCCTTCTGGGGATGGAACTCCTGCTGCAGAAGCTGGGGATAGCTTCACAGTGCTGCACTTAATCCCTTCCACCACCAGGGAGGCTCTCTTTATATGTTTAATAGAACTCACCAGTGAAGCCATCTGTTCCTGGCCTTTTATTTGTTGGGAGATTTTTGATTACTGATTCAATCTCCTTACTCATTACTGGTCTGTTCCGATTTTTTGTTCCTAATTATTTAGTCTTGGTAAATTTTATATTTCTAGGAATTTATCCATTTCTTCTAAGTTAACTGATTTGTTAGCATATAATTGTTCTCTTCCTTATCCTTAAAATGGGGATTAAAATAGTACTGATCTTATAGGAGTACTGTGAAATTTTAAAAAGCTCATTTATATTCAAAAAGCTTGAGACATTCTTTGACATTATACTTCCTAACAAAACTTAAGAGAAAAGAACCAGTTTATTCTCTTTAAGAATACAAATTCCCTATTTGAGTACTGCCTAAATATGTCTATTCCTATATGCTTCTGAGCACTTAAAAACAAAATTCTAAATTGTTTATTTTTGAATTTCCACTCTCTACCAAAAATATAGCTACATTTTAGTGATTTTAGCTTCTGATTATTTTTCTCTGATACATTTAGGACATTGTATGAAAGAAAGGGACAGTATATGTTAGTAATTCTAAAGAGACTTATAGTGATTAAGGGGTAAAGCTTTCCAGTGACACTGTTATCCTTCCCCAGTTGCCCTTTGTGGTTAATAAAGTTTGAGAGTCACTTGGCACAGTGTGGTATCTTATCCGGGTATAATTTGCATTTCAAAGTGAATATGTGAAAATGGATAAACTCTAGTAGGGACAAAAAATTGGGCTATAAAAGTGAGTAAATAGGAAAAATAGTATATTGAACAAATAGGTAAGTATTCTCATTTTCATAAAGGCAGCACTAGACAACAGAGAAGGGATTGTAGAGGGACGTAGGTGTGGTTGAGACCTATGATTTGGATTGCAGCATTGGATTTTTGAATTTCCCAGATGGGATGCCCTCACCTTTCATACCCTAAGTAATGAATAAATGAACTTAGGGCATTTATCCCTAAAATCAATAGCTAACTGTAAGTCCAAATAACGAGCAAATTATTGTGTTGTTTTAAACTTGTATATGTTTATTTTTTCCCTAATCTTTGAGATTTGTTAAAGGAATCCGCGCTGAAATTCATAGCATCCTTTCTAATTACCATATGTAGTTCAGATCTCAATGTGCTAATTCCCACCTGGGTGGAGAGGTTTCAATTACAACTGAAGCCAATTGTATATAATTACAATGATATTTTTTTAAATGTACTTTACAATAATATAAACATACAATACAATTAGCAGTAAAATGGGGGGATATGAATCACTAAGATGAAAGCTTCAGCTTTTGGGGTCTGGGGTCTGGAATTTGCCTTGCCAAGTCAGCTTATACAGGGGTTGGGAGGTGGGTGGTGATGGTGTTGAAGAGTGGTACTTCTCTGGGCAGAACCTCCCATGGCTGTTACCAAAATCTGGAGAAGACTTCAGAGAACGACGGGCTTAGACTCTGAAGGATATCAGATTGACTCTATTGATACATATTCAGAGATGAGTTTTATCAGAGCCACCTTTTAACTTGGGGGGGGGGGGCTGGGTCTCCCAGCACATCAGTCTTCTTGCCTCATGTTTTTATCAATGTCTTTGTAAACAAGTGGTTGCTTTCATTTTAAGTGGTAAAGTCACCCCATTTCAATTACACCCCCCTTTTTTTTCCCACCAGTCAGGATCATTATAATAGCAACACATGTAACACTGACAAAAAAGGAATAAAGAAGAACGAACCCAAACCACAAAAGTTAAGATAGTAGATTAAGAAAGTCCATTATAGAAAAATCTAGGATTATAGAAATTAAAAGAAGTTGAGGGTAAGGGGAAGGAAGTTTTTAAAATAGTCTTGGAAGCAAGATAACTAAATGTCTTTGTAAGTTTTCTGGAGTAGGGTCTAATGCTGACTTCTTTCTGGTTATATTCTTTAGAACTATTTACTATGTGGTTGACAAATAGTCAACCAAATCTTTACTATTTAGTTGACATCTCTGTCAAATTGCTAACCCATTATAAGGTTGGTTTCAAGGGGAATAAACTGAGAAGATATAAATATATGTGTCAGAAAATAAAAGGTGGAAATGGTTGGGCATGGAAGAAAAGACAGACTATAAGAAATAAAGAGAGTTTTATAAAAAGAAAAGAAGTCTTGAAAATATGGCCAAGATTTTTCTGGGGAAAGAGCACAATGGACAATGATGGTAGACTGTGGGTGTTTTGGTGGTGGGTGTGGTGTGGTTGCCGAAATAAATTCTAGCCTTTAACAATTCCCTTTCAGTGTGGTAACAACACCTGGAAGGGGAGTTTTATATATCTTTTTTTTAAAGATTTATTTATTTATGCACACAAGAGCTGGGGTACAGTCCAGAGGTGTGGGGGGTGAGAGGACTCACCAGAGACAGAATGGGGAACAGAACAGGCAGACTGACCGAAGTACACTGCTGAAGGGAGCAGCAGGCAAGTCAGGAGAGGTCTGCTGCGCCATGTGTGTTGCTCCCTGGTGGGCTGGGGATCAAACTCATGTTGCAGAGGATGCAGATAGCTTCTTCATAGGTTGTGTCTTAACCCCTTGTGCCACCAGGGAGGCCCAGATTTTTTTATTTCTAAAACAACAAACAACATTGTAAACAAATGTTACCTCAATGTAAAATTAAAATAAAATAAACTTTTTTCTCTTGAGTAACTTCTTTACAGTTTCTGGAAAGAAACATAGATAAATAGAAAGTCAAGAAACTCAGACCTTCATTGGAAATAACCTAGCACTTACAAGGTTGTCAGAAGAAAAGTGTGTGATTATGGTGTTAAATAAGATACTGAGAATAAGGTTCCTTGCCAACCACCTTTGTGCTGATGAAAAAATAGAATATGAACCTGTATCATACAGCTATTAAGAAAAATATTAATAGTCTCAGGAGAACCAGATAATAAAATTTGTTTTCATAGTGACTGTGGAAATGCCGTAGTGCTAGGTAATTAAAAGAAAAGTACTAATTAGGTTATTTATAACTTTTGTCTTTGAGAGGTTATACATTTTGATTTTTTTTCCACTTATGTATATGAATGTTATGAAATTTCCATCATGGTTTACTAAAAGCAGAATAATATTTGAGTGATGAAGAGGCTCAACTATTTTAAAGGGTTAAAAAGAAAGACTTACTTCTGAAACACAAACACAAGGAAAGGTAAGTCAAATATTATTTACAAAAGAGCTAATTTCTCATTTACCATTTTTCTGTGTTTTGGGTTTATTTATAGGCAACAGGACTGCTTTGGAAGATGGAACTCTTTGTCCGTTTTCCAGAATGTGTTTCCAAGCCCATCAGTGGAACATGACACTGCTACTCTGTGTTGAAATGCTTCCGGAGCACCTGCCCCTCTGCCGGCGCCTTCCATCCTACAGAAACCATGGTCTTCTCCCCAGCGTTGACTGCGTCCCATACCAGGGCGTCCAACACGACGTTTGTAGTCTATGAAAACGCATACGTGAATATGACGGTCCCTCCACCATTGCAGCACCCCAGCATTGGCCCGCTTCTTAGATACAGTTTTGAAACCGTGGCTCCCACTGGGATGAGTTCCTTGACAGGGAATAGCACAGCTGTGACGCCAACACCAGCAGTTTTTAAGAGCCTGAACTTGCCTCTCCAGATTATTCTTTCTGCTGTCATGATATTTATTCTGTTTGTGTCTTTTCTGGGGAACTTGGTTGTTTGCCTCATGGTTTACCAAAAAGCTGCCATGCGATCTGCAATTAACATCCTCCTTGCCAGCCTGGCATTTGCTGATATGTTACTTGCAGTTCTGAACATGCCCTTTGCCTTGGTAACTATTCTTACTACCAGATGGATTTTTGGGAAATTCTTCTGTAGGGTATCTGCTATGTTTTTCTGGTTGTTTGTGATAGAAGGAGTAGCCATCCTGCTCATCATTAGCATTGATAGGTTCCTTATTATAGTGCAGAAGCAAGATAAGCTAAATCCATACAGGGCTAAGGTTCTAATTGCAGTTTCTTGGGCAACTTCCTTTTGTATAGCTCTTCCTTTGGCTGTAGGAAACCCTGAACTGCAGATACCTTCCCGAGCCCCCCAGTGCGTGTTTGGGTACACAACCAATCCAGGATACCAGGCTTATGTGATTTTGATTTCTCTCATTTCTTTCTTCATACCCTTTCTGGTGATACTGTATTCATTTATGGGCATACTCAATACCCTTCGGCATAACGCCTTGAGGATCCATAGCTACCCTGAGGGCATTTGCCTCAGCCAGGCCAGCAAGCTGGGTCTCATGAGTCTACAGAGACCCTTTCAGATGAGCATTGACATGGGCTTTAAAACGCGTGCCTTCACCACTATTTTGATTCTCTTTGCTGTCTTCATTGTCTGCTGGGCCCCGTTCACCACTTACAGCCTTGTGGCAACATTCAGTCAGCACTTTTACTACAAGCACAACTTTTTTGAGATTAGCACCTGGCTACTCTGGCTCTGCTACCTCAAGTCTGCATTGAACCCACTGATCTACTACTGGAGGATTAAGAAATTCCATGACGCCTGCCTGGACATGATGCCTAAGTCCTTCAAGTTTTTGCCGCGGCTCCCAGGTCACACAAGACGTCGGATTCGCCCCAGTGCTGTCTACGTATGTGCAGAACATCGGACCGTGGTGTGATTGTCAGAACAGCCTGACGTTTTGGGTGGTGGTTGTTCTTTATCTGACTTTGAATTTTCTTTCACATTGCTTCTCCACTTACACTTTATTGTTTTTCAGAGGATGTGTGTATGTGTGTGTGCAATGTAAAGAAAGAATGGTGATTACTTATAATTCTGTTACCAGGGATACACATTAGGGAAGTGATCACAAATGTTACCTCCAGGGTTCAAGAGAAATACTCTATTTAGGGTATGGAGATTTTTTTGTTTGTTTGTTTCTTTGGTTAATTAGTTTTTATGGTAGGAGTTAGGATTGTGCTTTATTGACCCTGCAGTTACAATGAATTGTAGGTGTTTCGTTTGCTGCTAAGTATGATTATTGAGTTTATCAATTTTTTTTTTTCCTGGAAAACACTGCTGCTTTTTACCATCACATTGGAGCCAAAAACCACATACATCTCAGTAGATAAATATTTAGTTTTATTAAAAAAAAAAAAACCCAAGGGAGTTAGTGACATTTTAAAGATCGTTAAGATTTACTTTGGTGCACTTTAAGAAACAATGTACGAACTAATTCAGAAGTCATGTTTTTCAGAATTATTTTTATACATGACATGTGCTTTAGGGAGCATTGCATTATAATTTCTAGGAAAATAGTTTTTTTTTAAATGTTTTATCCGCATATACAATTTTAAGGAGAAAACATAAAAATGTGGAAAATTTTCTAAGCACAATAGTGATATTTAGAGCAATAGGGCAAAGTGGAGGAGAAAGCGCACCCTTGAACATTTGAATGGGATTTAGTGAGAGGATGACTGGTGTAGGCCGTGGTGATGCTTTTAACTTGAGAATTCTTGCTGAGTCTGTTGGGGAGAAGGGTGTACCATTTACTGTATATACTGCATAATTTTATCCTCACAGCATCCTGTGAGGTACGTATTATTTCTTCCTTCTTACAGATGAAGAAAACAAGTCTCAGAGAGACTAAGAATCTGCCCAAGACTGTGGTAGAGCTGGGATCCAAAAATCTGTCAAAGTCCAGAGACTTTGTGTTCTGCTGTGCCACACAGACACCTCAGTTAGGTTTAGATGTTTTATAGTCAAGCATGAATTCTGTACTCTTTAGTTTTTTTTTAGACTAAACTCTTCTTTTAAAAAGTATCTTTTTTATTACCATAAGAGAAAGGAAGTTTGGAACATGGAAAAGAAAAAAATAAAATCACAACCACCTTTATCAAGTAGAACTTGGCAAGCTTAGATAAATAAGACTATAAAAAACAAGGCGATTTTTTTGGTTTGCAAAACAAGTAACAATTATTGAGAGGTTAAATAAACTCTATATAGGTCTTGGCTTTGTGCATTTGGAGGTTTCCAGTAGTCTAGCTGTTTTTCTAAATGTTCTGGGCGGAACATCATTGTTGTCAAGGTGTTTGCCCATAAAACAGCTGGAGTCTATAAATGTGCTCAGAAGCACGTTTCCTAAGAAAAAGCAAAGATATGCCCTGGTCCAAGTAGATAGCAAGTTTTAATGGGGCAGGTCTGGGATTTTTAAATTATTTTTTCTCTCACTGATAATCTTGGAGGTGCCTTCTCTCTGTAACCACTGGCACATTTTATAAAACAGCCAACAGAGATGGAGCTGCAGACTGACACCATAAGGACTGGAAGCGTGGCCCTTTGATTACAAAATGGGCTTTAGAAATACGTAAATTAATCATGAACACTTTAGAATTAGAGCATCTTTTCAGAATTTGAGTCCTTTGAGAGCCAATGGGAAAAATAGTAGCTTCTGTTTCTTCAGTTGTACAACCAGGGAGTTGGGTTAGATGAATCTTCAAGGTCTTGTCCAACTCTAATGTGTTTTCTTCCATGTGAGAGTTGAGAATTTTGAAGAGTCTAGCTGATACCAGCACCACTCTTTGGTCTCCAGTATTATTTCTTTATGTTTTTACTTCATTGGCTATATCTTAAAATTGAATGTCTGAGGAGCACATGGGAGGGTATCAGGAGTTAGGACTTTGGAAGTATGATGACACCACTAAAGACCCGGGAAATTCTGCTTGTAAGCACTTGTAACGGTGTTAGAACTCGTTTTCCAATTAAGGAACTCTTTTGGGGACTCACGCATATTATTCAACATGTTTTGTAATCATCTGATGATGATAGTCACCTACCTCTGGTTTCTAATTTATATTAGTCACAGGTAATATTGTTTTTGTCCATAGAAATCCTGTAGAACATAAACACTGTGGTATATACTAGTGGCAAAATGAAGTGTATTATGCTTTCCATTTTCACCATCAACTGGATTTCAAGCAGATGTTAATAAGTGTATTTGAAGTTAGACTTTCTCTAAGGAAAGTCAGCATGATCTGTATTCCTTGTAGGTAGTGGCGGTAGGCTTTGAGAGTTGTTTTGGGTTTGGGGATGAACCTGAGTTTTGTTTTCTTTTGTGCTGTTTTTATGAGCAATCCTTAGGTATTTTTGTGGTGCTTGGTTGGCAGTGCATGATTTGGTGGGAGCACTGGAGCGCCTGTTGAGATTCTCGTTGTTTGCGAAAGGAGACCATGAGGGGCCTTTGTGAGAATTCAGTAACAACACTGAACAGCAGTTCTCTTTTACACTGGATAATCTTGATCCAACGACAGTTTACAAATCACTTTGAACACACATTTCGAAAGCTTTACAAAAAAAGTACTATGGTATACCTTTGAAAAATTTAGGTGCAGAATCATATGTTGCCTCTTCCTCTGTATTTTCTTAAGGGGAAAAAAAAGACCACTACTAATTATCACTGCTGACTGACAAATCAGAGATGTTTTTGTTTTATATCTTCTGGCTAATTAAGAAGCATGGAAGAGATAGTGAAATATTTGTGGTCAAAGGAAATCCCAAGTAGCCTGGAGTAGTGATATTTAAGCTTTGATATGAGTATGTGTCTAAGTATTCCCAGGGGAGCTTGTTAACCGTACAAGTCCCCAGGGTGCCTAGAGGGTCTGGGCTTGGAACCAGGGATGCACACTTGTTGAGCACTCTGCCTGATCCAGGTCCCTGGGGCATACTTTAAGAAATGTTCCTGTAACCCACTTTAAATACTGACTGTTTTATCCAAAATTGTTTGTGTTGGAAGCCATTATTTCCTAGTGCATGGGTAATCCACATCAAGAGGAAAATCTATTTATCATTGTGCCTCATTTGCTGCCATGTGTGTTAGTGCTGGGTCTTGCCAGTGTTAGTTGTACCCCCTTTCAACTGGCAAAATTCTGATAAACCATGTAGTTTCAAGTAGAGCAAAAAGCTACTTAATATTTGAAAATCTTGACTCTCAGGAGCCTAATTTCTCTAATACCTTCTTTTCTCCTATATATATAACCTCCTGAAGAGTGTGAAGGGAATGTAAAGTGTCACCTAATTCCTATTGCTCTGCTTATTCGGTTGTGTTCAATGGAAGCATGAAGAAAATAAAATAATCTTTTGAATCTATGTATTTCTGTTACTGAGAAAGATATTTAATTTTTTTGTGATCTTTGCTTTTGTTTACATGAAAATATGTGTGTATATATATATATATATATATATATTTCAGAAAAATTTCCCCTTGCTTGACAATGTATTCTACCACAATTTTAAGTTTAAGAGACTGCTTAATTCAAATTTATTTTCACAATAGTCTGCTAAACTGCCTTCATTAAAAACTCCTTTTTTATAATAATAAAAATATCAAAGCACATGTTTGTTATTACAGGTTAATTGAAACATTTCTTAGATATATATACTGGTACCAGTCCTTTGTAATTAAAATTAATTTATTTTACAAGAGTACGTGGCCTGTATGGAAAAAAATCCCTTGAATTTTGGGTTGTAATCAAAAATCAAATGGTATGCTTCTTTGTGCATATTATTACAATCAGAAACACACTCCCAGCAAGAAAATGAATAAAAGTTTGACATTTCTAAAAGTGGAGTTTTATTTTTAAAGGACTACTTCATCTTACCTTAGAAAAAATTGTCATGAATAATACTTTCTGTTAATATCTGAGTTGAATTTCAAATTCTGCTTCCTTTGGGTTCTTATCTCCAAATTTGCTCTCAGAGCCTGTGTGTATATGATTATCTTCTAGTTTTAGAAGGTCTCAGAGTAGTTAAGGATGAAATGTAACTTGGTCACTTTGCCCTTATTATCTGATAACAATACTGAACAGCTAGTGAGAAAAGTTTACTAAGCATCTTACTGGATGATTATTACTTTCCATCCATTAGGTGATAAATATTCATAGTAGCAAAACCTATATACAAAGCTGTGGATATTAACACAAAACCTAAGTTAGTTTGGCTTTGGTTTTAAGTTGTTAACTAAATGGTTAGGTTAAAAATGAGATTATTGAGTTGACTTGGCCTGTGGCATTTGGGGACTACTATCTTTAATGTCAGAACCTTCACGGGACTTGTTGACTGTGTGGCAGACATTTGGGGAACACTAAGAACCCAGATACCCTTAAATTGCTTGGATCTCAGAACTCCTTTTATAAAGTCCTTCATCCAACTGCACAACTGAGATTCAATAATGTGCTAGTTTTTCAGCTTGCTGGGATTTATCTATACGCGCCAAGGCTGGGGCAGAGGAAGTGGGGGCAATAAAGTTTGGCAGAGCTGACAGGGCTTGATGGAGTATAAAATGATGGAGTTGGAGATGTCCTTGTGAAGTTTCCCCCAATGCTCCACTCTTATTGGGGTCTCTAGGCAAGAGTAACTCATAGAATAAAGAACTGTCCCAGGACTCCAGAGCCAATGTTGAGAAATGGTGATTTCTCCTATCAAACTGTGAGCTCCTTGAGCCAGGGGCCAGTGTTTTTCTCTCTTCTGTATTCCCAGTGTCCATAGTAGGCAATCACTAAACATTGTTAATAAACATTTGTTTTCAACAATAGCTAAGAGGAGGAGAAGACCTACATTAGGGCATTCAGAAGAGATAAGTATTTGGAACTCAGAATGATGTTGGCATCTTCATGTATAAATTGACCCATGAGACTTTACTGAGTGTCAATACATGTCTTTATTGTATATAAATGTAGTAACAAGCTATCAATTGGGAATTTATAATAAATGTGGGCTGGTTTTATGTGATTAATCTATTTAAGTATGGTTGATTAAACAAATTAATATTAATAATGTTGGAGAGTATTAAACTATCAAAACAAATCAAATAAGCTTGGAACACGGAGGTGGGAGTCAGGGGCCCTGGGGTCCTGTGCCAGCTTCCACACGCCTACAGAGTCACTAGAACTCTTTCAGCCTGACATAAAATCTGTGTTTTAAGATACTCACAAATTCATAATTGGTATAGTAATTAGAATTGCTGAATCAGTTGAATTATTTGTATCAAAAATTCATAAGAACCTGTTACTGTAGTTTGTAATAGTAAATTTTTTAATGAAAAAAAATTAAATTGTGTAATTTATGTTATCTTGCAACAGTACCTCTGAGAAAAGTTTTCAAATGCATTTTACCCTAATAAGCAGATGAAGGGATAATTTCAGAGCAATTAAATGACTTGTCCAAGTTCTCACAGCAGCTCAGAGGTAGAGCTGGAGTAAGTGAGATTTGACTGTTAGACAAAAATAGTAATATTGAAAGATTTGCAAAGATCAGTGAGCAAGTAAAAATAGGCCAGATAAATGACCCTAGAAAGTATCATAATCTAACATGCCTTTTTTAGTAGTAGAAGAAAGAACAGCACTTTTACATTTATAAGGAAATAATGCTCTTTTTTTTTTGGTTTATCACCCATGCTCAGCCATTAAAAAACAACTGAGCTCAGAGATAAAAGAAGGCAGGTCAACATGAGGAGGCCAGGAATTGCTGCTGCCCAGTGTGGGGGCCAGCGATTGGTTCTTGGTCTGGAATTAGATCTCTGACCAAAACTTAAATATTGCTATCATTTTTGCCTAGAAAAACGTTTCTTCCTGGATGCTGGGGACTTAGGAAGCTGTCAGTAGGCAGGAATGTCTTCCTGCTCTTACCTGCCTCCTCTTCCAGACCTTGTCAATGAGCAATGTAACTGCAAATGGCACAAAAAGCGTTTCTCTGACAGGAAGAAAGATGCAGTTTTCTTGGACAACTTCCCTAGAGGTATTTACGTTCTCAAAAGCTATAATTTATTTAGGTTGCAAGACATCAAATTATTTTATATTAATCATTGTGAAGGCTGCTATTGCTAAGCAATAGGTTCGATCTGATCTCTCAAGAGCAAAGGTTTTGCATGAAAACACTTACATAATAAAACAAATGTACATGGAAGGGCAGTGTGGAAATGTAAGCAGATATAATGACAGCCAAAAAACAAAACAAAATCAACTTGGTGTTGATTTCTGGTCCTGCCTTGCCGCATGTCTTTCCCAGACACCATGCTTCCTGAGGGCAGGGTTCAGTGCTTGCTTATTGTTTTCCCTGCAACTGGCATGATGGCTTACCGGGAATAATGGTTCCCAAAAGTCTGGAAATGGACTTTAAAAAAAAAAAAAGATTTATTTATCTATTTATTTATTTATTTATTTATGCATACAAGAGCTGTGGTACAGGCCAGAGTTGGGGGGGTGGGGGTGGCAGGGTGAGAGGATTCACCAGAGACAAGGGAGTGGGGAACAGAACAGGCAGATTGACCGAAGTAAACTGCTGAGGGGAGCAGCGCCACAGTGGGCTGCTCCCTGGCCAGCCAGGGATCTAACTCCTGCTGCAGAGGCTGAGCATTGCTTCATAGATTGCGTCTTAACCCTTGCACCACCAGAGAGGCCCTGGAAATGGACCTTTTGTTGATAGAATCTTATTGCTCAAAATCATAATGGACTTTTCTTCCAAACCAAAGAGATTCTAGTGGCAAGAGCTGAGACCAGTGCCCAGGTATTCAGTCTCGAATGCACAGACCTATTCACCATACAAATCTGCAGGGGGAAGTCATCTGGGATTTTTCTGACACTATCTAAACTAGTTTGAGAGGTGAGTGTAGGGTGATTGGGGTTCTAAATGTTTAGTTGCTAAGTCTTTCAATACTAAGAGTAGGAGTGTATATAATTACAGATCTATACACATGTATGTAATTTTTTGATCTGATGTTGTGGAACAGATCAGGGAAGATCCTCTGTTCCTTGTATTTGTAAGGCTGATCTATGACTACCTTGTGTGTCTTGACTATATGTGCTTGGGCCTAGGCTTCAAAGATCAGAGGGAGGACATGATTTTATGGAGAAGATGAAGAGCACAGATACATGTGGACTGATAACAGCAAGTAGAAGGTATGTTTGTGTAATCTTAATTTGTTACTAAATGAATGACAGTGGTGATATGTACAAAAGGTATTCAATAACTACTTCCAACCAAAAGATTTTAGATAGGAAAAGTATTGCTCTAACTAGACATCAATATGTTGAATACTATTTGAACACTTGCAACAGATATTCAGAGTTTGAATCACTTTCATCATAGTTTTGGCAGGACTCGGAACACATTTTTTTTTTTTCAGCTGTTCTTCCTGATGGGAGCTATAAATAGCTTTGGGGAAATATATAATTATCTCAAAGTAGGAGCTAAAGATAAAAAGCTGTTTGTGATTTTAAAGGAACATTTAATAGTTATTATTATGTAACATTTATTAAGTATGCTCACTGTGCTCATTGTCTGCCAGGAAGAAACTTGGAATAAAAAGTCAATCCAAGATGTGACATGTAAAATAGACCAAAAGGTATATTAACATGGTGCCAGAACAAAGGGTTGGTTCAATTAAAAAAGAAAATTTAGGAAACAAAAAAGGACAGGCAAATTAATGTAGTTTTGTATAGAAGTGAAGAAAACTTGGATTTAGCAACATATCTTTAAAATACTAGCAGTTTAAAACAAATACGAACAGGCACATGTAACAGCTAACATTATGGGTGTGTCATTAAGTAGTGCTATGTTCTTGGCAGCTGGCTCAGACTTTTATATTTGAAAGGAGCTTACTTACCCTATCCAATGAGTAAATACTGAAAAATTTAAATTCTAAGTATTGATTTATTGTTGGCTGAAGTAAGGTAAGTGTTATAATGATTTCCATCATCAGCTCATGGCCATGAATGCTATTTAAATACTATACAAAGTTCACAACCAAATAGTCATTAATGCCAGCCATCTTTTATTTGGTATTTGATACCAGCTAGATGATGTTAGTACTATATCTAATATACAGTAGAGCCCTGCTTTAGGATTGGTCCAAGACAGGGTCAAATCACTTTAAGATGAGTCCTTCTATTAAAATATAAATCACTTTTCAATTTAATACTCACTTTATAATTGCCACTCACTAGGCCATGTGGGTGGGGTATTTGAAGAATTGTTAGCATTTGAGCCAATCCTGATTATTTTTTGGTTTGACCATCGTTGTCATACAGGTACCATTTTTTTTTTAATAAAGTAGAGAAATGTTTTGTTTTTAAGTCTTTATCCTTTCACACTCGTGGTTGTTGTTGAATTGCATAAAAATATTGTGTTAAACTATAACTAGATGTACTAGAGAGCATATTAAAAAG